CTCATTTATACTCATTCAAAACCGAAAGTTTAGCCCAGTGGCTCTTAAGATAATGTCAGATTTTTTGCTGCTATTCTTTGCGGTCCTGGAATTATACATGTTCAACTCGTATTTATGACGTAGTCTCAAACTAAAATCACAGTTACGGCAAGTTATTCGATTGCTTGCACTCTAGACCACACTTTTTTAAGTTTAAGCTAGCCTGGAAGGATCAGCCAGAAGCAGAGAAAAATTGAGGTAAAGCGAAACGATCACTACTACACTTTTGCCGGATGTGTTTAGCCGTTTTCGTTCGAGTCACCTCATCCATGGTGCTTATGCTCTTCGCACCTCAGATTGAAGAAGTCGGCGTAGCAATGAGCCAATCTTTAATGGCCTGTGCAAATAAGCGCAAATTCATCAGATTTATTTCTACGTCGTTCATTTCTTGTTTTAAATGCGCTACTGTGTATTTATTTTCCCATTTTTTGAGTTTGTTTGGTTTCTTTTTTTACCTCACGAAGACAATAAGAACAGTGCGTTTAGCTTTGCTAGCACTGATGAATAGGTTTTCTTGAGTTTCTTCCGTTGTTAGACTTAACATTAATAACCCAGCCCAGTAGATACCCACACTGTCCCCTTGTGATTCATCAAGGTCACCACCCATTTTTCTTTCCGCGAATATTTAAGTCTACCCTTTTCTTTGAGTAATCCCCACCCTTCTATTCACTGATTCTTTAAAGTGATAATGTTTCAATCTTCTGCTCACTTCCTATTTTTCGAATGACAGTGAAAGGTCTTCAACAGTGTTGGAAAACCTGTACATGGAGAAGGAAAGTTGAGGCTTTCTTCAAGATGCCTGTATATCTTACATCCTTCGCCCTCTACGACAAGTCATGATCAAAAGTGCTGATAAAATCCTTGAAATTTTCTTTCCTAGTTTCATTTTGTTTCTTGTCCTCTTCTCCGTCGTGATTTGAACTATCGTAGAGTGCGAATATCCAGGCAGTTACAGCGCCACAACGTCTCTTATCAACAACATATTCTTCATCTCCGAGGCTACCTTCTTCGGTCTCTTCACTAGCGTCATGTCGTGCTCTCAAGTATCATCGATCATTTCGGACGAAACCGTGAGTCACATCCTGCCACATCCCCCCTCTGCCATCCGCCCTCGCCCTGCTCTCCCTTTTCCTTTCCTCTCCCTATTTTTTCATCTATCTCTGCGCTGGGCTGGGTACCAAATCTGTTTCGAATGCTATTTTTAGCACTCATCTGTAGGATTTGTTGTGGCGTACTTGTCCTTCCTATCGTTGCACTCTGCTAACTTTCGTTTGAGTTGCTTGGTTGTTATATGCTTGATATTTTGAGTACTTCTAACCACACCGAACAGAGCTAAATGCGGTAATGGCATTTTGCTTCTGTTATTATTGAAATCCTAGTTCATTTGTACTTTTGCACAACATTCATTGAGTACACGACCTGAGTGTTTTTACGTATTTCGGATCCATGGTAAGATACCATCTCTCCGACTTTGTTGTGTTTAGTGCC